ATTTATGATTGATTTTGTATAATTCATTCAAAGTATTTTTAAATGAAAAAAAGTTTTATTAGAATTTTAAAAAAGAAATTTAGAAATGAAATAAAAAATATACCATAAAAATATTTGAAAAGATTTGAGAAGATATGAAATTTTATTATAATAATTAGCATTGCCGAATCGTTTCCAACAACCAAATGGAAATCATTTGTACATTTGGTAAAATCAGAAATTCTTTTTCGATGGCAATATAATGTATGGTATTTTATGATATTTTATATACGGTACTTCATACGGTATTTATATTTTATATACGGTACTTTATACGGTATTTTGTGAATTTCATGAAGCTTAAGTAATATTACCTGATGTTCTATAATTTTATCCTGAATTTTATTATAATCAAAAAACTTGGTTTCTTTTCTCACTTTTATATTTATTTATTTTTAAAATTGTATAATTTGCAGATTCGAATGAAATAATCGAAAGCACATGCTTCCATTTTTATGAATTCTTAGATGTATTGCTATCATAATTAAATTACACAAATTATACTTAAAATCATAATCGAAATTACACAAATTTTGATAGGAATGTTAAAATTTAAATTTCATCAAAGATTAGAATGTATTCATTGAGAGTTACAGGAATTCCTGGAACACATTCCCCGGGAACTGAAATAACCATATCCAATATCAATGAAGAAATAAATTTGTAAATTTAAAACCTTGCATTAAATATATGCAATAGTAGAAACCATTTTTTTTTTGTGTTTAACAATATTTCAATAATTCCCCAAATATTTGTATAACGATATAACGATACTGTAAAGATTATCGTACCTATATGGCACAGTATATTTATTTGGTATGTCAATCTTTCTAAAATATGATTGCTATTACACACACACACACACACACACACACACACACACACACTACTACTACTACTACTACTACTACTACTACTACTACTACTTACTTACTTACTTACTTACTTACTACTTATATATATATATATATATATATATATATATATATATATATATATATATATATATATATATATATATATATATATATATATATATATATATATATATAATTCGAGATTAGATCGGCATTCTCATAAGAGAACAAGCATTTCATTTTTTACCAGATTTTTTTTTTTCCAAAAACATTTCTTTTCCAATTTTCACTTTTCAATTTTTTTGATAATTTCAAGAAATGGGCAAGGAAAATGTATTTCAAAAGATGCTCCACAAAAAAAGTTTCTGTCTGTCAGTGAGCACTTGCAGCTGTCATTGTGACGTAAAAAAAAGCCAAAATGCATAATTCATGAGAATGGATTCAATTCCTTGTTCGATCAAAAAATAACATTTATTTTTGTGTTACACAAATTAGGAAAGATGATAGAAAGTAGTACTATAGTAACTATTCCTTCTTTCGGAATAAGGCCTGGATAATTTTCTGCCATTTTATTGTTTGCTACAGGTAAATATCAGTCAGTTCTTGTATAATATGATTAACTGTTGAGAGAAAAAAAACTGACTTGGCATTTTCCTTCAATATTTTTTGCTGGCCAAATAACAAGTGGTGATATGCTGACAGCAAGTGACAAAATCCATACGATAACAACATAACAGAATATTCGTTGCCGCGTACGTTGCGCAGCGTAGCGCAATGGTTGACTGACGGCGCAATAACGGTCGACACTTATCATGCACAGATTTACTATGGAAGCTGTACATAAAGTTAAGTCTGCTGACGTCCAAAATCTGCACACCTGAAACTGATGTTATTTGAGCGATCGCAAGATCGTTTTCAAGAAATTCAAGATGAAGTGAAAAACGGCTAACTGCTTTATGCATGAATGCCCCCTATCAGAAAGATGTGCTTAGGAATTGATTATGAATGATGATGATGATGATGATGATGATGATGATGATGATGATGATGATGATGATGATGATGATGATGATGATGATGATGATGATGATGATGATGATGATGATTGATGATGATTGATGATAATGATGATTGGTGATCATGATGATGATGATTGGTGATGATGATGATGATTGATGATGATGATGATTTTTTTGTTAATTTCCCATTTATTTCACTATAACTTTCATTTTTTTTTTCTTTTAAAAAGAATCAATACATTGACAACAGGAATGGAAGGAGAGATTGGAAATGGAGAAGGAAAAAGGAATAATTTCCTGCTGCTACCGGTAAATGATTGAATCATTAATTAAAGGTAAAATTAAACATGAATGAAAAGTAATTGTAATAAAAGCAAAACAAAATTGTTGTTTAATATGCGCCAAATATATGATGAACAAATAGGTGTAATTGTCGGATGAGTGAATATTTATTTAAACGATAAAAATGGAATTTAATAAAAAAAAATTCAATCAAATGACTAAAAATTTTAGAAAATAAATTTTATTGGCGAACTAAAATTTTAGCGGAAATTCTAATTAATACTTCTTTTTTTTCTTTTTTGAGAAGTGAAAAAAATGATAGTGTTTATCAATTTGTTTTTTGAATAGCAATGTTCTTTACTAAATTTATATTTGAGTTTAAATTTATTTCGATTTTCTTTTTTCATTTTGTTTTTTTTTTTCAAGAAATGAACATCAATTAATTCATTCATTTGGATATATATACTGATTCGAATTTATCGATTTCACATATGTGGTTGACAATAAAGGTTGACAACATACATTTGTAGAAAATGCATTTTAATTAGAGTATTCACACAATAAATTTTCAATCTTTTTTTTTTTCCCCAATTCATTTTCAATTTCACAACTCATTATTTCAACGCTCCACTTGATAATGAAAATGTTTGTCACTTCTGTCGCTGTCGTGAATCATGAAATTATATTGATCAGAATCGATCATCCTTTTTCCTTAAAAAAAGAAAATTTAAATCTCTCAAGAACAAAACAGAAATTAATATTGGTAATTATTAGTATTATTCATTAAAAGGTATGTTAAAATTCAGTAAATAATATTTATAATTCAATTTTTTTAAAAAATTTTCGAACTTATCGTTTTTCTTTTTTCTCAATTCTTTTTTCTTGTAAAATCAAACTTTTTTGCAATATTTTACTTTTCTTTTTATTTTTGAAAAGTTTCAAAATTATTTTGAAGAAAAAAAAGTAATGCAAAAATGAATTGGAATGAACTTATGCACATGCTGCCGTTCATTCCTGAGCAAACTTTGCAATTTCGGTTTAATTTCAAATTTTAATTTAACCATCAATTTTGGTTCAATTTCAAATTTCTGTGTAATTTCAATTTTGGTTTAATTTCAAGTTTCGGTTTAACTTCAAATTTTGGTTTAATTTCAAGTTTTGGCTTAATTTCAAACTTTGATTTAATTCCAAACTTTAGTTTAATTTCGATTTTAGTGCAGTTTCAATTTTAGTTTATTTTCAATTACAGTTTAATTTTAATTTTGGTTGAATTTCAAAAATGATGAAATTTGTCAAAAATAAAATTAAAAGCAATAAAATTTTTAAAAATATTCCATAATACCTCGCAATAAACATACTGATGGAATATTTTAATAAAACTATACATATGAATAGGTAAAAAAATAAGCAACCAAATAAGTAACTGTTAGTATTTTCTATAATATACAATCATTTTTAAGATGAAAAAAAAAAAGAGAATGAAATAAAAAATAGGAAAGAAAAAAAATAAATGAAATGATCAAAAATGTATCCTTTTAAAGATAAAATAGTAATAAAAAGAAAGGGAAAAAAATTAAAGCCTAAAAGAATTTTTCTTTTAAATTTTATTTCCAAAGAAATCCTTCACATAATAATTAATAATCAATTTAATCTAATTAAAAACAAATTGAAATATACTTCTCCTTTGTTTTCCTCTCTTTTTTTTCCATCCTTTTCTTTTCTTGCCAATTTTTGTAAAATTTACTTCACAAATTATACACATTCTTTCTTATAGCAAAAATAATTATTTAATTCATCGACCAGAAATTTTTGCACATTTAAATATTATTATTATCCATCTATTTAGAATAAAAATTAATTCAAATTTGAATTTGTAAATTAAAAAAGTTTCTTTCTATAGCGTATTATTAGTAAGCGTTAAAAAGAAAATTTTCTAAATGTCATTTTTCTTTTTTCTTTTGCATCAAAATTTTGTTTCACTTTTTTTTCTTTTTCCTTTAAATATATATTTGAATTTATCATTTGTTTGAGAAAAAGATTATAAATATTCATAAAAATTGATATTATTTATCATAAATTTGGAAATGGAAAAGTAATCAATAATTGTAATAAAAATGAAAAAGAAAAAGAATTAAATGAATACATTGATTATTTCAATGATAATTAATCAATGATAAAAATGCAAATATAAAAATGTATGCATGAAAATAACTTTACAATAATACTGATAGGTATTATCCTGCAGTACTGACCTGTTTCCATTCCGTTCCGTTTTTTTTTTTTT